CCTATGGACTTTGGTCTATGGTCTTATGGGTATCAATTGGGTTATGGCTGAGCCAGTGATAGGTGAGCTAATGTCTTGGGAGGGGCTTTGTAAGAAGAATAGATATGTACATTTTATTCATTTGACCATTTTTTGGGTTATTTGAAAAGAGAGAAAAAATAGAGTTTTTGAGGGGATTGAAGAGTAGATTGTTAGTATTAAAGATAGGTGATTCAACTATTTTGGTTCCGTGATTTTGGGACATAACTTATATAGGATGGAACATTTTGGGGTCATTATAGATATGTTTATTGAGTTGTAAATATGTTGTACATAGGTAACACTCTTTGGCGCCGTTTACTTGATATACGTTTTACAATTTTTATTAAAAAAAAAGTACTTTTACAACTTACACCACAACCTACAGTCCTGTCAAACGCACCTTTTGATTGTTATGTTTTAATTGCTTTAGAGATACTTTGTTGATCTATGATGATTATGTAACCTTATTCTTGTTTATAAAACTGCAGTTGATAGTTATTTGCTATTTCATGAAATGATAAACCATGGATCCTGAAGGCAACAAGTTCGGAAGAGGTAATATGCATGGGCACATTATGTCCATTTTTCTTTCTTTTTTTTTTCTCATAAGGGCATTGAACAGTCTTTTGAGGATATGTGGTTTCAGACCCTCTGTCTTTTAATTAAGACTCATACACCAGTGAGGATTCAGGGACTTGATTGATTTGTTGATAGACCTGCAAAGTTTTTGTATACAGGTTGCACTCTCTTGGTGCTCATTGATACTGCACTTGTATTTTCAAAAAAATTATTCCTCTATGGATGTCTTCATGGACTTGCACACTTCAAAAAATATACCACCGTAACAAAATTTTGTATCCAGTGCAGAGGATTATTTTTCAATTTCTTATTTCCGATTTGCTCATTTAAGTGGAAAATAAGGAAATTTGTTACTTTAATTTTAATGGAAAAAGGGAACTTTTGTACGTGAAAATGTTTTTTACTTTTCATACTCTGCAAATATATATTTGTGTATGTATAGTTGTATGCATATAACATATGTATAATGTGTATATCTGTACTGTATATATGTTTGTTTACAGAACATTACATTTTTACATGTAGGCATATTTTATTTTAATTTTAACGAAAAGAGGAAAAAGTTTATTCTCTTTTGACCTGTTGGAAAAAAAGAGATTATGGTTGGTAATGAAAATATTTTTTACTCTTCTTTTCCTCTACAGATATGTAATATATGCATGGATTTATAGTTATATGCATATAGTGTGTCATATGCATGTAGAGATGTATGTATTGGCATGTGTATATGTATGTTATATGGGTTAAAATAATGATTTGGTCTATGACTATTTAGTTTTATTTAAATTAATTTCTACCTCAATTTTTGGTTAAATGCACCTACACTTTTTAGAAAGATTTCGATTTAGTCCCCTACTATTAATAAAAAATAACATATTAACTTAGAGTGTCAATTTTCAAATTTATTAACATGTGGCACTTATTGGCTCGAGGTTTAATTGAATGTCATGTTAAATACCACGTGGCATTTAATGTAATATTAAAAAATAGATGTGGAACGGTTTAGACTGATCTACAAATAAAAGAACCAATTCAAAATTAACTTGCCCCATTAAAACAAAGAAAGGAAAAGCCCTGATTGGAGACTCTACTCAAAATAAACAACACCCAAGGAAACTTTGTACCCTAGTGGATACAAGCATCCCGAAGTCAAGGTACCGAATCTCATCCTCTAGTTGGACGTCAAAGAGGTGTTGCAGGGAGGCAATGTAAACCCAATTGATTGAGCCATCGCCAAGTTCGTCGGGATTGTGGTGCTTAATGGCACTCAAGGAGGAAGTAGCATCACATCCCTTGCTACAAATCTCTTGGATAACTTGTGTGACCTAACAAACATTAACCAGTCAAAGAAGGGTTAGAAGGCCGTGTTTGACTCTTAAAGGCAAATGTGCATGCTGATAGTCGGCTTGACCTAGCTTGCTTGACTTGACAATGCTTACGACAATGCGCAAGTGAAGAAGGTTTGGTCCCAGTCTCATCTCTTCTTGTGGAAGGAAGAAAGGAAAGAAGGAAGGCCTTCTGATTTGCTAGAAGGGAGATGCAAGGGAGAGATATTCAAAGAAAAATGAGCATGGTAGCTAGGTGGAAGGGAGATTAGACTTTTTTTTTGTTGATCGAGAAGGGACCAGTCATGTGAAAGGGTGGCTAGAGCATGACACTTGTTTTACCTGTTAGCTTTTATTTTTTAATTTGTGGATTGATTTGAATCAGTTCATATCTAATTTTTTCAATGCCATGTCTAATGCCACATGAATATTATTTTTTTTTAATTTGTGGACCAGTTTGAAATGGTTTACATATGACTTTGTTAATATCATGTCAGATGTCACATGATATCTTACGTAGCATTCACTTAAACATAAGACACTCAGAAAGTGTGTCGTGTCTTCAAATTTAACACGTGATATCTAACTTCAGTGACAATAGTCAATCATAGGGAGGGACTAAATTGAAAATTTTTCAAAAGTATGGGAGATAATTTGAACCGAAAATTGAGGCAAGAACTAATTTGAATAAAAGTTAATAATACAGAAGTTAAATTATTATTTTAACCTATGTTATATTTATCTATAATATACATAGAAAAGTAGACATATATTTAAGTATATGTATGATTAAGTATAATAAAAAAACATTCTAGAGAACATTGAAACTAGCTGTTTTCTTTTTTCCTATTTTTATTTTATTTTCTAACAAAACTAAATATGTTTTTTATGTTCAATGAATGTGAAAGTTCAGAAGATTGTTTCGTGCACTAAACCCCCTAAAATATTTTCTAAAACAAAAGTTTCTATCTTCGAGCAATTGGATGTGTTTTTAACCATAATTCACTTTCTTGGAAATTTACTTGAAGCACTTTGGGAAGTGATAAGTCTTTTCAAAGGAATTAGTTGTAATGCTTGAGAATTAGTGCTTATCAATATTTAATGCTGGTGCCTTCCTAGTAAAGAATGCTCAAATATTAGTCAATTTAATTATTTAGTGCCAGAGTCCCTTACTTTGATCTGTGAGTCCTATAAAAGCTTAGTAAAATAAAAGTTGGTCCTTGTCACTGTCAGATTGATATGACTGCTTGTTTGATTTGCTTGCTAGAAATGGTAAAAACTATGACATTCTAAGAACTGAATATGTGGAAACAAATTGGCTGTGGGAAGCTTAATATGAGCAATTGCTCAGAGCATCTGGTTTTAGTTATATTTGGTTGGGCTCATGTGGCAAAATATTTCATTGATGTGATGTACTCTACTGTTTGTTTAAAATAGTGATTCATCGAACATTGTTTTCCACTGCAAGCAATCTCATAGAGTTGTATGGAATTATCTCTATCCCAGTTTTGTTTCACTGATGAGATATTGTTCTATCTTAACATTTAGGGCCACGGGAATTGACTGGTGCTGTTGATCTCATTAGTCATTACAAATTGCTGGCCCACCATGATTTTTTCTGCAAGAGATCACTTCCTTTGTCAATTTCAGATGCACATTATCTTCACAATGTGGTTGGAGATACAGAAATCAGAAAAGGGGAGGGGATGCAATTGGATCAGCTTATTCAGAACACATCGTATACCAGAGATACTAATGCCCGAATTCAGCCTTTTGACCTAGATGTCCTTAGAGAGGCTTTCCAACTGCGGGAAAGTACCCCTGTTGAACTGCCTCCTGTAAGAAATTTATTATTTTGAGGTTCATTTCTTTATTTAAATGCTAGCTAATCCTAGATCCAGGAAAACCATTGTAGCTTGATGGTATAGTTAAGTATGGTTTTCACTTAAGACATGGATGCCAAGGAAGTGGAGAAAGCAGTTTGTATCCCAGCTTTACCTAATATGGATTAAGCCTTAATTTATTTTGTTCTATGTTTATTCTTGTGGTGGACCTTGGGTCATGAAATACCTTTCTCATTAAAATTGTTTCCATATGCATGCCACTTCAGTTGAAGTATGTAATTGTTTTCTTTCTTCCTTAGGGAGAAAAAGGGACTCCTACTATTGCAGCAAAATCAAAGAGTGATTCCAAAGATAAGGAAAGGAAGCATAAAAAACACAAAGAGAGAGACAAGGAGAAGGATAAAGAGCATAAGAAGCACAAGCACCGCCATAAAGATCGAAGTAAAGATAAAGACAAGGACAAAAAGGACAGGAGCGGGCATCATGATTCTGGTGGTGATCACTCAAAGAAACATCATGAAAAGGTTAGAATCCCTTACTATTAGCTTGAGTTTTGAGCCTTAAGTAAGATTGAATTGAGTGGGAAATTTTCAGTGCTGCAAATTCTCTGTGAATGGGTTCAAGTGAACATCTAAATATCTGTCGCATTAGACTTATATCTTCTAATGACATGGTAAATTAAAAGTCTGCTTACTGGAAGAAACATTGCTATGTTATTTTAGTCAGATCTAGTTGAGCATTTCCTCTTCAACTGGGACAAGTTTTTAACAGATTTTTTTTTCCGCATAGAAACAAATTTAATTTAATTTGATTTGGAATTGGTTGCTGTTTGTAAGTCTTTATGCTTATCAAATTTCAGAAAAGGAAGCATGATGGAGACGAAGATCTAAATGATGTTCACAGACACAAAAAAAGTAAGGTAATGCATATCAATGCTTCAGAGTCAAGACCATTTTCTTGCAGCTTTTATTAAGTTTTTTGCAATTTTGTTTTGAAATAAAAGCATGAAACGTATTGCTATGTGCACCAATAGTGCAAATCATGTACAGTTATTTACGGCTTAATCCTCCAACAAAATATGTCTCTTAACTACTGAACAATAACCGGAGGATGACCCAAAAGCAAAAAATTTAGGGTCCTAAGTCATCTATTTTTCAGTATATGAAAAACCTTCGTGTCATCGATCCCCGCAAGAGCTCTACTATATCGTCCTTTCCATACAATCCACAAAATACTTAGAGGAATTATGTCTGCTAAAGTACAGCAGCCTTTAAGACTCTCCCAAGCCCCAATCTCACCTACTGAGCCCGAAATAACCCAGCTGATCCCTAAGCATCTGTGCACCTCGCACCACAACAGATAAACAGCAGGACGGTGAAGCAAAAGTTTGCTGCAACTCTCTTCGGCCTGTTTGCAGAGGTAGGATGCATTAACCAAAGTTAATCCCCTTCTTTTTAATTTATCAATTGTTAAGATACACCCTCTGCTTGCTTCCCAAGCAGAGAGAGAGAGAGGGGGGGGGGAGACCTTAACTTTCCAGATCTGTTTAAACAAGAATGACTTGTGCTGTCCTACGGTTGTGCTGTAGCTTCTTTCTGTATCAATTTTTTGTTCCATGATTTTACAGTAAACAAGCCTTTTTTAGTGATATTCCACCGGGGCTTATCAGCATTATTGCCCAAACTAACCCCGGACAGAACCTCCATCAAGTCTTTTACATCCTTTATGAACTGTTCTTTTTATCACTTTCTTCCCTCCCAATTTAAGTTTCTTCCTTTATGAACTGTTCTACTTCTTCTCTCTCCTTGATTTGGTCTGAAAATAACCTTTTCAGCATAAAAGCTCAAAACTCGATGAGATGGGTGCAATCAAGGTAGCAGGTTGAAACCAACGTTTTCTGTACTTATTTGCTGTCTCAGATGATTTTCGTGGGAAATTTGGAAGGATCATTAACTTCGTCTTCTCAAGATTATATTAGGTAAGCACCATGTCTTGCCAGTTTATTTCTTCAATTATTCATTTCTTATGTACTCATCCTTTATTCTTCTCCATTTTGGATGGTTGAAAGGATTTATAATTGTCCTCTAAGGGATAGGACTGTTCATTTGTCATTTGTTCAAGTAAATTCTGAACTGAGGGCAAGGGAAATTCAACCTAAAATGCATCTCTCCCTTTGGCTTCAATTGAATTCATTCTCCGCTTGCGTAAGGGACCTTTTATTGGATTCCCTACCATGGAAAATGGATCCCTTCCATGTGATAATAAATAACACTATTGAGAGATGAAAAAAAAATTTGAAAGATAATGCATATGTGCTGCAACAAGTGATTAATCACCAGTTAGTATTCCGAGAGGTCATTATCTTGGTTTTGATATTTACAAGCATTACTTTAATAAGTTTATCAATAGATTTACAAGTGTAACCACCTTTTATTATGGTGTCCGATGGCATATAGTTTATGGTGCATGGTCTATGGTTTTTTGGGGATTGATTGGATTATTGCAGGGTTTGTGAAGGGAGAAATTTGGACTTGAGATGGTTTATATGTAAAATAATAAGATTGCTAACCTGATTCCTTTGACTGTTTTGTGGGTCATTTGGAATGAAAGAAATTGTAGGATTTTTGATAGTGTTGAGAGTAGTACTTATAGTTTAAAAGATAGGTGGATTTATTGTTTTAGGTTTATTTTGTTAGATCATGACATTGTCAGTGATGTAATTAATACGCTAACACGATAGTAATTTTTTTGTAAATGGGTGGTACCTCATTTTTGGTACCTTGTTAATATATATTATACATTTTTATCTCAAAAAAAAAATGTTTATCAATAAATTATGTGGCCGAAGTTCAGTTCGGGGAATTGTTTGATGATTAGAACGTGGCTTGTGTATGTATCACTTCCGCATTTTTGTAGGATTGTCCTCTTGGGAATGTATGAGATATGCGTTAACCGAGTTGGTATCGAACTTCTTGTCAAACCTTGAAGCAACAATAGAATATAATAGTATTGTGTTAGAATGGTATTTAATCACGTTTCTGTTCTTTTCTTTTTTTTTTCTTTTTTTCTATCTGCAGGGTAGTTTCTGAGATTAAAAATTGTGAAGAAGGTGAATTCACCTGTTTAAAGACAATTTGGTGCAAGGTGAAAAAGTGCTAGAAATGAACTTTGTATCATATAGTAGTAGGCTCTGATGTAATGCTGGTTTTTTTTTTTTTTCTTCTCAAAAAAAAAAAAAAAAAAAAAAAAAAAAGAAAGGGAAAATACATGATTTTTCTTCAAAATTTGGTGGCCGGCGCATTGGTAGCTTAGCATGTTATCATTCTAATCTTTCCTCAGACTTTAGTTCAATCCTATAATCACATATGAGTTTTAAGAATTCTCTGACATTTAATTTTAGGATTAGTTTTACCCAGGTGAGATTTTGTGTATATTAAGAAAGTTACTTCTCAACAATTTTGACTCGTTCTATTTTCTTTTACCAATTTAACTCATCCTGCATTTCTAAGCTGCTTTTCATGTACATATATCTATATATCTATATATATGTATCATGTACAAGCGGTTGAACAGAGAGAGAACAAGAAACACCCATATATATATATAAATATATATAGGTTATTCTTTTGGGTGGTTTTATTGTAATTTTCATCAGGATCCCAGTTTCTTAAAGAGTTTTTACTGAAAAAAAAAAAAATGTATAATTGTTACGATAAAAATTGTATAATGAATTATTTTGTTAGTGTGAGAAGAAATATATATTTTTGTATTATCTTAAATTGATAAATAAAATTTTTATTTTTGTAAAAAAAAAAAAAAAATAGGTGATGGAATGATAGAATGTTGCATCCAACGGTGCGGGCATTTTATTATTGTAAAGATGTTATTCGATTGCGTCATAGGCCGGCCGGCCGGCTACCATTTACCGGTTATTATTTTTATAAAAATTCAAGTAAATTTTATTTGAAATATACATGTACGTATATATACATGGAATTATTCATATTAATTATATTTATATATATATATATATATTGGGTGAGAGATGGATAAGGTGGTGATGTCATATGCGTTCACGTTTAATTGCCATGAATCCCAATGCGTGACACAATCGATTTCTTCTTCTTTAATGACTTTACTGCTACTTGGACTTTACGACTTCAAAATTCAATGTATACATACGTATATTTACATATATATATATATATATTCCCTTTCTTATCATTCCACAGAACCCCAACATATATATATATATATATATTCCCAAAAAAAATTAAAAAAAAAAAAGGGAGCTAATCAGCCATGCTAACGAATCAGAAATCTCTTTCATCATTTTTTCTTTAATTCTTGTGTAAATGGTACACGTTAATATTCTTATTTATAAAATTGTATTTTTCGTGCAAAATAATTTTTTTAAAATTAAAATCCTCACATAATTTTGATGAAAATAAAAAAATTATTTTTTTTTTTTATTTCCCCCTAAGGGAAATGCCGTCTTTTGCATGAAGGAATCGGCGTCCAAAACGCGTGTCTCCATCACGAATGTGTCAAAATCAATCAACCAAAAAGAGCAAACACGTTGAAATCAAACTAACCACTCACATACGCGCGTGCCGCACACACGCCAAATGAAACTGGTAAAAGTACAATCAATCCTTGTGTGGGGCCCGGGTCCTCATAACTTATATATACTTGAGCAATTTTCTTTTTTCTCCTTTAAAGCAAATTATGAGACTACCATTTATGTAGTGTACGGCGTATGTTATGTTGCTCGTATGAAATTTTAAAATAAGCTAATTATATTTCTACTTTATATTAAAGTTTTAATTCTTACATAATAAAATTAATTAGTATAAGAGAATTTGTATTGATAAAATTATAATTTTAAATTTAAAAGTTATAATGTGGTAATAGTAAGAGCTGAAAGTGAAGGAATGTTTAAGAATGTGTGAGTATTTTATGAGTATAATTTAATATACATTAAAATATAATTTAATATGTTAAATAAAATTAATAATTAATAAATTATGTGATTATTGCATTATCATTTGTGAATTAAAAAAAAAAAAAAAAAGTTATAAACTAATGATATACAATATGCATGAGTTACATGATTATAACATAATAAAAAATGAAAATAAAATAATTTTGCTTGAAAATATAAAATATTATTAGTGTTAGTTAAGATATTATAAAGAAGCAACGATAACATGGTAAGAAGAATTTTGAAGTCCTGAAACAAATATATTATACCTTACAAAAAATTAATAAAATAATTATAAATAAAAGTAAAATCTTTATTTATCATAGCAATAAATTATTTGTAAGTAGTAGATATAAAATAAAAATAATATTATTTAATTTTAAAATCTTAACAATAACTCTTGAAAAAGGAAAAAAGAAAAATAAATAGAATTAATAAGAAGCTGCTTCTCTCTCCTCCTCTTCTCTCTCCTGCAATCCCTCGTCGTCTGCCATTACTCTTCCCATTTTTCTCTTCGTCTCTGACATTTTTACTTCGCACTCACTCGCTTTCACCAGTCTGTTGAATCTTTTTCTGCTGCTTCGATTTTCCACTCTCTACACTTCTTACCTTGTTCTCTCTTCTTCATCTCCTTCTCTCTATCTCAGTCGAAAAATTTCTCCTCTCGCTGTGTCTGGATCTCATTGTCTTGCTATCCGTTTGCTTGGATCTTCTTCCTGCTTGTTCCTAAAATCTCGCAGGATTTCATTTCTTCTCCTCTTCAGCTTCTTCCTTTGATTTTCTTTCGTTGTAATTTTTGCCAAGCCTTTCTTCTTCTTCTTCTTCTTCTTCTTCTTTCCCGCTTCAATTCGCTCTATTGCGTGCCTTGAGCTTGGGTTCTGATTATTTGGATCTACTAATTCTTCACTTTGCTTTTTTTTCGGGTTCATTTCTAGACGGTAGCTCCAATTCATGAGCTTGCTTTTTGCTGATTTAGAGGATTTATTAGGGTTTGTATTACTAATTGGGGTTTTCATTATTTATTCATCGAGTTAATTGCTACCATTTGCCATGTGTTCGTAGATCAGTGTTTTTGCTTCCGTTCAGTTTCTTATTTTTGGCCTTTCTTTTTGTTCTTTGTTGTGGATTTCAGGTCTTCCGTTTTGTCGGCCCTGTCAGCTATTGGTCCTTGGCGCACGGCAACTGTGGTTTCTCTCTTCTACGAGTGAGCTGAAGACTCCTATTTTGGCGATTTACTGATTTGCAGCTTCCCTTTTTGGATGTACTTGTTCGTGTCTTCTTTCGGGTATTACCGCTTCTATTTTAGATTTTACTCCGCTTCGGTACTTTGTTGCACTTGCTTTCCCATATTTATTCTGCTTCTCTTCTTCTTCCTATTTATTTATTTGTTTATTTATTTGTTATCTATGATAATGGATTTTGATCAATAACAATTTGGATAAAACGAGGTAAAAAAGTTTCCCAATTTATATATTCCTTTTGCAGAACCGAGTGTTATTTACTTCTGCTCAGCAGTGCAATAATGGTTGTGGGCATTGGGTTTTAAAGACCATGATCCGAAAAATAAATTACTGTGCTCCCTTACGAGATTATGGATATATTTTTTTTTCTACATTAATTATGTGGAGCCTCTTTGTGGTTTATTGGCTTCCAGATTGGGTAAAAGGATTTTACTCAAGACGGGAACATTAAACTCCATTCTCTATTTCTCCATTTTGGGTTCGAGAGATTTTCACATTTCTTGTGATTCCAGTTGGTTCTTGAATTTCATTTAATATGTTAACTAACATTGTTAGTCAAATGTAAAACGATAGATGTAATTATTTGCTAGCTTTTTTAACATTTTGGTTTCTTATTTTATGGCTTTTCCAATTAATATTTAAGTTGCTTTACATACTTTTTATTGCTAAATATTTAAGAATGAAAGCTGAAGTTATAAGTGTGAAAACTAATGCTTTTGTTCATATAGATGTATTCATTGGTCTAGACAAATATTGTTTACTAGAAAAAGGAAAAAAAAAATGAAAAACATGAGACATGGAGGGCATGTACAATGAAGTAGGAAGCAAAATGTGCTGTTTTTCCATTTAGTATGTTATAATTTTGTTTGTTTCTTTGTTTCTTATATCACTTGGTTGTGGTTTTCAACCTGATGTGCAATTGGTTCTCAGTTATTGGTAGGGATTGGTTTGTGATTACAAAGAGATGAGTCACACTACAAATGAAAGTGATGAAGGAATACTGCCTAAGGATCAGATATTCACTGATGAAGGAAATAGTGGGGGAAGTGCTGGGGGTGGCATTGTTCTGAAGAAAGGACCATGGACTTCAGCTGAAGATGCAATTTTAATTGATTATGTCAAGAAGCACGGGGAAGGGAACTGGAATGCTGTTCAGAAGCACTCAGGTCTGTCTCGTTGTGGAAAAAGCTGTAGATTACGTTGGGCAAATCACCTGAGGCCAAATTTGAAAAAGGGGGCATTTAGTCAAGAGGAAGAACAGCTAATTATTGAGCTCCATGCCAAAATGGGAAACAAATGGGCACGCATGGCTGCACATGTAAGTATTACTATATGCTGTTTTTTTTTGGATAATGGTGCACATTATCAAGTTCACATGACTTTTTTTTTTCTTGTTTTTCTGGAAGGAGTGGATACTGTAGTCAACTGCCATTCTTGTCTTTTTGTTTTGCAAGTCCTATGCAATATCTTCTTTCTGTTCTATTCCATTCCACATGTTAGATAATTATATGATTTCGTATCCTCAGTTTACAGTCCCTGCTTAGATAAGCACTCATAGAAATTGCAAATCTTTGAGCTGTTGGAGATATCATTTTCAATTGGAAATATTTTGTAACTTTGAGTTATTCAACAGTATACTAGAAACATGCAGATAGTTTATTGTCTCCAATGAGCAAAAATGGAGATATAATATTGTTTTGTTTAAGTCACTTTTCATTCAAACTAATGCAAGGAATCACAGCCACCTCATTAAATGTCCTTTATTCTCTCTTAAATGGTGAGAACTACAAATTTGTATTATTGGTTCTGCAATTATGATCTACTGTGATCAATTTAGAAGGGTTAAGAATGGAGTATGGTTTCTATGGTCAACCATATCAAATTTAGAAGGTTTTAACATACTTAAATCTTTAGGGAGCCAGAAAGCTGTGTTTGGGTTAAATTTAGTGCAGATAGTTTTTTGGCAATAATTGTGGTCCATCCTTTGGCTGTTCTGCAGAAGCCTTGGCAATAAATGCTGTCTAATAAAAATGGGAGCTGTTCTTATCTGTTTTTAATTTAAAAAAGTCATATGAAATTTATTTGGTATGAGAAGGACGAACTTTAGATGCCGTACTTAGTAGTTAGAAGTTAAGCCATAAATCATTCAGTTTGCCATTTCATTTTTATATGGTCCTCACGGACCAAAGTGGATTACTTGTTAATACTCAAAACTAATTAAAACTGACTGTACTGCAAGTTTTCTATGTTGAAGCTTGATATATTGGGTTAGTCTTAATTCTTTTGTCTTTTTCAAAAAAAAAAAAAAAAGTCTTAGTTCTTTTGTCTGTAAATCATGAATTGCATGAATTGATTCTCTCCTTGATGAGTTTTTAGGTTTTGTTTTATTCCATCTTTAAAATTTATACTTGTAATGTTGTAAACCTGAGAAAATTGGTCTATTGTGTTCTTCAGTTGCCGGGTCGTACAGATAATGAGATAAAAAATTACTGGAATACCAGGATTAAGAGACGACAACGTGCTGGTTTACCTCTCTATCCCCCTGAAATGTGTTTGCAAGCATTCAAAGAGAGTCAACAAGGACAGAACGCTAGTGGAATTAATAGTGGAGATAAGGGGCATCATGATCTCTTGCAGGCCAACAGTTTCGAGATACCTGATGTCATATTTGACAGCTTAAAAGGCAGCCATAGTGTTTTACCCTATGTTCCTGAACTCCCTGGTATGTCTAATAGCAGTATGCTGATGAAGGGTTTCAGTTCTTCTCAATATTGCAGCTTCTTGCCACCAAGTACTCATCGTCAAAAGCGTATACGAGAATCAACAAGCCTACTTGCTGCGTACGGTGATAGTGTTAAAGATGATTTCTCCTCCTTTAATAGTTTTCATGATAACATTCATCAAAAGGTAGCTAGATCTTTTGGGTTGTCTTTCCCGCATGATCCTGATCCAAATGCAAAAACCCCGGATGCTTTTGGTGTCGATCAAGGTGGCCATACCCTTTCAAATGGCAATTTCTCTACTTCTAGGCCCATATTGGAGGCCATGAAGTTGGAGCTCCCTTCACTCCAATATCCAGAGACTGATTTAGGTAGCTGGAGCAGGTCTTGTTCACCTCCGGCTTTGCTTGAACCTGTTGATGCTTTTATCCAGTCTCCACCACGTCTTGGAACAGACGAATCTGATTGTGTTTCTCCTCGGAACAGTGGCCTCCTGGATGCATTACTCCATGAGGCAAAAAATATTAGTTCTACAAAAAACCATTCCCATTCATCTGAAAAAGTTTGCAGTTCAACTATTCTTGCTGATATGGGGGACAGTTCCACCCCACCTATGTGTTGTGACCCAAAGTGGGGAGAATATGGTGATCCCCTTTCTCCATTGGGTCATTCTACAACTTCACTTTTCAGTGATTGCGCTCCATTTAGTGCCAGTGGAAGCTCGTTAGATGAATCACCACCTGCTGAATTTACTGGTGAGCACCTCTCTTACACAGGAGTTATAATGCTTGTGCATTTTGTGTTTCAATCAAGCAGTTAAACCCAAATACATATATTCGAAGTATCCAGCTACTATGCCATAGTTTAGTAACAGACATGGTGCCTGTGGTATTTAGATGAGGAAGCACGGTGTCCTCAGGGTAGAATAGATGTGTCCATTGGGTAAATGTAACAGTAATGGAGCTTTTTGTTGCTTTTCCATGGTTCTTGGCTGCTCCTGTGAACTCATGGGGACAATATCAGCTGCTCTTATCTCATGTCCTTTTCCTTTTCTTATTTGCAATCCCGATCGATGGTTTTCTATCTAAAGAAAATGCATTTCAATTTTCACATATTGTTTCTACTTGTATTCCAAAGGTGTCAAATTTGGATGAATTTGCATACTAATAGATTTTGTTTATAGGGTGCAAATTGAAGTCAGAATCAGTTGACCTAGCTTGGACTCCAGAGGGGAAAGAGGAGCCAACTCGATTCAATATTACTCAGCCTGATATTTTACTTGCTTCAGATTGGCTCGAGCAGAATTCTGGTCACGTCAAAGACCCAGGCATGGTGAGTGATGCCTTAGCGAACCTTCTAGGCGATGATTTGGGGAATGAGTACAAGCAGATGGCAGCTGGAGGTTCATCGGGTCAAGGATGGGGACTTGGTTCCTGTGCTTGGAATAACATGCCTGCTGTGTGTCAAATGACTGAATTACCATAAAGAGAGATCTGCAATGTCAAAAATCGATGAACTTTGTTAGAAACTTATCGTTTATTCTTGCTTAATTGATGTCGGTAACTTTGCCTAATCTGAGTTGGTAAGACCTGGAGAGTTAATGGAGACACGGTTATTCTGTTTGTGGCACTCAATTTTTCTGTTTTTTGTTATAAGAACTCTGGTATACAGATGATGTCCCTGTTTTGTTGCAATCTGAGAATAACAATGCATTTGCAATGTGGAATTCAGGCTTTTGATTAAAGATGGATTGTATTTGCCCTGTTTATTTACTTAATTATAATCAATATCAATCTCCTACATGGGTGAGAATTACTTTTTACTTCCGTCAATCACTAGTACTGTTATATTCTACTGGCATTCAAGTTGTTTTCTTTTTCTCGTCTTTTAACAAAAGGTTGTTGAGGTTTTGAGGTAATTAAAGAAATCCTTTTTCCATAGTTTTAAGATTATGTTGTCTGAGTTGATCATTGACATCACTGGATTTCGTTCTCAATACAGTAAATTAACTTAAGAAAACCCTAATTTTGACATAGGCTCATTGTGGGAATTTAAATTTAATTTAATTAAAAAAGTATGAAAATCCTACCAGGCTAGTAAAAAAATTAATTAGTGCATGAAGTGTATTCAAAATACAAAACAATATATTTAAAAATACAGACATTCATGTATAGTTTGATGCAGACATACTTGTATGGTTATTCCAGACATACTTGTAAAAATAGTTTGATGGCAGGAAGGGAAGCATTTCTCTTCGAAGGTATACGGAAATCTTCCATTACCGGGATAATCTTGCATTCTTCAAACAAGTTAATTTTGGCAAATTAACATTTATAATTTTATATAATAAAATTCATGACAAAGAATACCGAGATAGATTGATTAAAAATTGGGAGTTGATTATACGATGTGAGTTATTAGGTCTAATGAACATTGCAAGGCATTATTTCTTGGAGAACTTGAGTAGATTTACAGGTGTAAACCATCAAACAAGCATTATCTTTGAAAGGTGCTTGCTCCACACCCCCATACGCATAATTATTTTTATAGACGTGTGCGTCGGTATTGCTATATATTGATGGTTTCATTAATAGTAGGATTGTCCATGATGTGCAGATATGCTTGAATTTCTGGAAGACAGGATCTGTATTGAGGGGGATGGTGGAAGTGGAGTCATCTGGTTGGAGGTGTATACTGAGCTATTCTCTACCTTATCCCCTTCGCCTTCGCCTTGTGAATCAGTGGAGCCTGGTATGCTGTCTCCTGAGTCTGATTTTGCTGGAGAGAAGTCTCTAATACCGCGCATTGTATCTCCTTCCATTATGTAACTTAAAGCATATACCACCTGCAATGATATAAAATATTTCTTATAAAGGGAGCATTATTTCTAATTTTTCTCTTTCTATTATATAGCTCATTATTTTCTAGGAAAGTCTTTCCCATGAAACAAACCAGAAAAGATAAAAACGAAGGGCGCGTTTCTCTAGTTTCCTCAATTGATCTGGTACTCTTTACGGGCAGGGTACAAGTTCATGTACGAGCAGTTACGTAATGCAATGCTTACCTTGTCCATTGATAATCTCTTTTGGGGATCCTTACTGAGACATTTTTCTGCAACTCGTACCATCCAGAATAACTGATGAACGTCATGGGAGTGTAAGATCCTGGGGTCAATTAAATCTGGGTAGTTCCTCTCTTTTAATAAAGGTCTTGCCTGCTCCAGATAAACCCTTTGAATTAAATTAATAAAGGATGTTTAGAAAGGTGAGTAACTGAACCATGGTTTTAAGATTTTGTACCCATCCCACTAGACTTTTCCCTCCGAGTAATTTGTCTGTGGTCTTCAGTCCAGTGATAAGCTGTAACAGAACCACCCCAAATGAATAAACATCGGTCTTGGTTGACACTTTCCCACATTCTGCATATTCAGGTGCTAGATATCCCAGTGTTCCCACCACTCTCGTCTCCGAAGAGTGATCTGGATCTCCATGTTTAGTTCTTGCAAGGCCAAAATCTCCTAACTTAAACACTCAACAAGTTAGCTGAAATGATCATATCGATGTTTGGATTATATATTGTAGTAGAGTTATTACCAGTGTTTCATAATCATGTGTTACAAGGATGTTATTAGGTCTCATATCCCTATGGATGATGTTGTTTTCATGTAGATATTGTAAGCCTCTCGCTGCTCCCAAAGCTATTTTCATTCGCTTTTCCCAACTAAGAGGCCTGCGAGTATGCTCTGCAATATTTTAGCAAGATTCTTCAGAGATTAGACTTCACCAATTTGTAACAGTCATAGTTACAAGAACAAATATAATGTTTCTCAAGCGTTATTGAAATTGCATGTGCTATTCTTACTTGACAAATGTTGGTCCAGTGAACCATTGCAGACATATTCGTAAACCAGCAACCTATGTTTTCCTTCAGAGCAAGATCCCAACAGCATGACCAAGTTCTCATGTCTGGCTTTGCTTAGTACATGAACTTCAGATTTGAATTCTTTCTCTCCCTGCAAACTTACATTTTTATGTTGCTTTACTGCAATTTTCATCCCATCCGCCTCTCCTTTGTAGACAGAACCAAATCCACCTTCTGACAGAAAGTTTGTATCAGCAAATCCGTGCGTAGCTGCTTGGAGCTCTGCATAAGTGAAGCTCCTCTTCCATCCTATCTTTGGTCGTCTGTTTTTGCACATCGTGCAGATGGAATTTTTGAATACCTCATCTTTTGAACTGTCTCCCATCCAGTCATTGTAGATGACTTGCTGCTTTTGTTGGTCTGGAGTCCCCGTGTTAAGGCCCTTCTCTTGATTATAGTGATCAATGCCAAATGGGGATTGTTCTACTGCGGAGTCCTGTTCAGAGTTTGTAGCATACTGTTCCCATTGACAACAGGGTGAATACTGTGTCTGGGGAAAACTAGAAGCTTCAACATTTCCTAGGCTTGATGGTGTAGTCTTTGAGGCGAGCTGCTCATTTGATGAGGATCTAGAAAAAGAGCTAATTTTCTTTTTACTATTCCATGAGAGTTCTGCACGATCATCGCCTACTTTTTCTTTTACTGAGCTGGTCCTATGTGGGCTTAGAGATTCTGCAAGAACATGAATCCACCCTTGTTAAAGCATAGATGTTCTATTTGTTTATATGCCCATTTTTGGGCATGCCGCGAGAAAGAGATGTAGCCTGTTTATTTTTTATACGCTTTATATTGTGATTCACATTAATAAATTTTAAAATATTTATGAAGCTACTTACTGCTAGGAGTTTCTACTTGTGGTGGACTTCCTGGTATCATTTCATCATAGGTTACTTGGTCTCTGTCTCTTCTGGGTCTGGCTGTAATAGGGTGTTCATGCTTATTGTCCTTTCTTACTTTTGGCCCTCTCAAATGCTCGATAGAGTTGTTGCGCTTCATCTTTGATATGCCACAATAGAGCTTATCCATGAAAAACTTATCTTCTTTTTTCATATGCCTGTTGCATAAATGCACGTTAAAAAAATTAGAGAATTTGGTTCTGTTTTATCTGTTAAGGGAAGACAATACTAGATTTGTCTAACCATATTGTGGAGAACCTGCAGCTAAGCAGTAGAGCTCTTTAGTAGCTCTACAACTATCACTTAATTATGCTTGTGTCTCACAGTGTCTCATAATACATAGATGGAAAAAAAGAAAAACCAAAGACGTGACCTCATCAGGGCCAAAATCTCCCTCTTGTATAATATAAAAAAAATGTATATGCAGATGCTTCCCAAGTGAACTAGTGACACTTAGGTGTCACTAGTAACTGTAATGGACTAAACTAGCAGAAAATCTTCTCTCCCTATAGATTAGAATGTCTAGTACAATGATTTTGGACTTAGACATTTACTTGGTTAGCAACCCAAGAAGAAGATTATACCGAACCATGGGCAACATCTTGAAATTCTCACTGACCTGTCAAGTATTACCCATGTTGCCTTCAAATTTCTGGCAGCCTTTAAGGCAACTGTCCTTGATGAGGAGCCTGCAAGTACCTCTATACCGAACTGAATCTGAGAATTTTCAGATACAATATCAATTTAAAAAAAAGAAAAATTGGTAAGTGAAAAACATGACTTTGTAACCTTTCCTGTGATTTCTCATTGGTATATGAGCAGCCTAGAAAAAGCTAATCACGGAATAGGATTCTTAAGATGGGGCTTTATAGTATGATACTATGAGTAATTCATTCTTTTTACTTTTGATATGTTCTTCTGACATTATCACAAAGAAGTAACAACAAGATGTTGAGAAACTATGAATCTGGCAACAGATATTTCACCTCTTCTGCTTCACAGTGCTTAGAGATCTCCATAATCTCTGGATTATTTATGTACTCTTCCTGCCTCCTTGCAACTTCTTCTGCAACAATTTTGTTGTTTGTGCTGAACATGGAAGTGGAATCCACCTTGATTTTGTATCCCACTGAAAAAGAAAAAAGGAAAGGAGGATAAGAAATGGGTGTTTGGACAGAGGAAAGGAAGGGATAGAGGAGAAACCAGTGATATTCTGTATGATACAACTGATTTTTATTGTTAAAATATTTTCTGAATTTTCTTGCATGCTTTTTCGCTTCCTTTACGAGTCAAAAAAAGTATCAATGCTTACGGAGTTTCCCAGGTCTCCTGAAAAATAACGTACTAGGGTTATTAACCTGGTGAAGAACTCCTATAACTGTAAGTTTGTCTCCAGGCTTAAGTGATAAGCCTTCAAAGATGGATGCAATTGCGCCCGGATTACATTCCCCTGATGCATCCTGGATCACCACCACTCTTTGAGGTTCTGCAGACATGTTTGTTCTGGTTGAAAGCTTCTACTATGAATGTTGATAGGCACTATGAC